TCTTGCTGGCATGGGCCATGACACCATCTTTTGGGGGTTCCGGGGGAGGGGGGGGCAGAAAGCATGTGTAATAACAAGTTCAATAACAAAAAAAATAGCAAGGCACTGAATGACTCCAGGCAAAAAGCTTCATCTACATACATATGAATTTAATACGAACACGTTATCACTTGCGAATCTTGTTAAAATGAAGATTCTGATTCAGGAGGGCTGAGGGTGGGGATGGGGGAAGGCCAAGGTTGTACATTTCAAACAAGCTCCCAGGTGATGCTACTGGTCCAAGGACCACAACTGGAGCTTTAACTTTTCTATTTATGTATTTTTTTTTAATTTTCTGTAAAAAAGGTAAGAAAATTTTTTCCATCTATTCTTTATCTCTTCACTACAAAGAAATACTCTTTATTTTTAAATACAGAACTGTACCAGATATAACCTACCAGTCACCAAGTCCTTAAACAAACAACTATGTAAACAGTATAAGAAGGGGCAATTACAAATTAATGTCTGTCTCCACACTATCTCATGCCTATGCAGATAAAAGTAATGTATTTGAAAGTCAAATCATATACAGTTGTCTTATCCTTACCAGTTATAAGTAAACACTTTATCGTCATCTAGATTAACAACCATCCTAGGAAACACTATGAAAAATTTAATTCAATAAATTCTACTTAGAAAGAGAGTAACCTATTGCTGAAGCTCCTGGATAATGGTTTATTGAATTTTCAAAATGTAAGAAATGATCATAGATTAAGTAGCACATACAGAATATTTGAGGAAAGAAAAAACTAACAGGAAAAGATGAAGACAGTATATACAGAGCTGAAAAACAGGGATTAACAGAATATGGCATAAAAGAGCTGTACTTTCCTGCGAATAATGACATCATGGGAAAATGTTTCTTAGCACAACCTTTTGAAATTTATGAATGAACTGAGGGGCTCCTAGGTGGCTCAGTCAGTTAAGTGCACACCTCGTGATGTCGGCTCAGGTCAAGATCTCAAGGTCAGTGGGATCCAGCCCCATGTGGGCTCTGCAGTGACACTGCAGACCCTGCTTGGGATTCTCTCTCTCTCTCTCTCTCTCTCTCTCTCTCTCTCTCTCTCCCCCCCTCTCTCTCTCTGCCCCTCCTCCACTTGCTCTCTTTCTGTCCCAAAGTAAATAAACATTAAAAAAAAATTAAGAATGAATTCTTTTTTAAAACGGAGATAAATGCAAAGAAACTTAGAAAATACCATTTTTACTAGTATTGTCTTTAAAAATTATTCAAATTTACTTAGTGAAAAAAACTGTTTTGATGGAAGAAAACTTTCTGGAATGTGTGTACATAAATGCAATGTTTCCAAAAATGGTATACCACAATAGTTTTCAACAAGACACTAACAAATAAATATATGGTAAAAAAACCAACATGGCCTGTGTCTAAGTTAACTTTAACTTGGGTGTTCCTTAAATTTAACAGGTCCTAGGGGTGCCTAGGTGGCTCAGTAGGTTAAGCCTCTGACTTTGGCTCAGGTCATGATCTCCAGGTTCTGGAGTTTGGCCCCCGCACCGGGCAGGCTGCATGCTGATAGCTCAGAGCCTGGAGCCTGCTTAGAATTCTGCGTCTCCCTCTTTCTCTGCCCCTCCCCCGTCATGCTCTCTCTCTTCTTCAAAAATAAATAAACATCAAAAAAAAAAATTAACAGGTCCTTTAGACTACAGGGCTTCTGAAAGTCTTTTAAAAAGCCTCTTAAGAACTGTGAGTTTCTACAAAAGGAGATTTTCAGTTGGAAACTTTTCATTGATAGTATTTCCTACTTAACAGTTATACAAAACACTTTAAAAGTTGATAAAGCTCAATTGCCAGACATACATTAAGTGTAAATGCTTAAGACCACTGTAGCACATCACCAACAATTTCCCTCACTCTAAAAATTTTTCAAGAGCATAGTTTGCTAATCAAAGTGATTCAAATACATAATCAAATTTACATGAACAATTCTAGATTATTAAAAATTTAATCTGCAGGCCAAGGAGAGAAATTCTTCTGAGGATTAAGCATGTAGTAATCATCTAAAAATTAGCAAAATGTGACTATATATTTCTGGTCTTCATCCACAAATCTATTTCTGGATTAAATCATCATTCAAGAGAACTTTAAAATAAAAAGTCTAACTAGGATTTGGAAAACCTGGGGGGGGGGCGGGAGGGATTTTTTTGTTTTGTTTTTTCTCAAATCCACACAGCTGGGAATTGATGCTTTGAAATCTTCCAATATCATCTGTAGAAAGCTTAACTTCAGTTATATAATAAACTTTATGCTGAGTTTAAACTGATGTGCAGGTGCATCCTGACCCACATTTCTTAGTAAATAAGTTTCAAAATTGTCAGTTATAGCATAGCCAAAGAGACATCTTCCTGTGTATTCTTCCTCCTTTCAGTCAATGGTCATAGATACCTTTCCACATGACAAGAATAAAAAAAACTTTCAGTAGAAAGCTAATTATACCAACCAAAATTGTCAAATGGCTACTTGCTTAATTTTATTTCATGAAACAAATGGAACCTCCACAAAGAAAAAAAAAAATCTAAAGCACAAGTACATTTAAAACTTCTAGCTAATAAAAATCAAATTTTACCTTAAAAACTATTTACAATGTATATCAACTTTAAAAGCAGAGTGTATTTCTCCTCTTTCAACCCTATATTAATATTCATAATTACATTTTGTTTCTGCAAGAAATCCCCCTACATATAAATTCATATCCTCACTCTTAACTAGGCACAATCTCCCTTCTCTGTACTGCCTTAATATAAAAACTTTTTTTCTGGGGTGAGGGGTGATGGTGACTGAGGGTTGGTAACAATGACACTAGAGCAAAGGAAAAGGATAGCATAACACCAATAAGGAAGAAAATGAAAGCAAATTAGAAGCAGGTCTCCCTCCTTCTGATAAACACCAAGGCAGTTGCAAGAACAAGATAACTTGCTTCCCAGAAGCACATAAAACTTATACACTAGAAATAATGACTCAGAATAATTAGAGAATATGATTTGCAATTATTTTAAATAAGTATACATATAAAAGATTGCTTTAAGTGAATCTGATTTCACAGGGTTTTTTTTTCACTTTATACTACCAAATCTGACTTACCACTACTCCTTTTTTGCTTTGGATATGGCAGCAAAATACATAAAACATGATTGGAGCAATAAGGGCTCACAGCGTAAAAGCACAAGATCTATCTGAATACTCAACTATAAGATTTACTCTCACGAGTCTTATTTCCTATTTTGTGAGTAGTTTATTAAATTCCTGGGTATTCTCTAGATATTTTTGTTAACCATTTCATTGCTCACTGATGAATAAAAGAATGTGGACAAGGTGACTCTTCTAATCACTTAATACAGTCAATACAGCTATAGAGATATGAATCAAAGATGAGATTCACAACTCTTATAATTTAACCTCTCAACTCTGGTGATTCTGGAACTCCGTTGTCTGATACGTTATTATACTTTGTAAATTAAGTGGTAGGATGAAACTTCAAAATCATTTAAGTCTTTTTTTTTTTTACAGTTGAGAAAGAAGTTAACACAGAGCTGTCAACTCAGGTTTTGTAATGTTGATACCATACCTATTCAACTAAATAATGCTGCTTTCCATAGCTGCTCTTTTTTCTCTATGATGTTCTTGTTATCTAAATAGTCTGCCTGTGAAAGCTGATAAACCCTACCTAACATGACCAGAAAATACCAAGTTTCAAGTCAAATACTTATACCACTGCTTCATTTTCTCATTTTCTATCCAACATTTTTTCTGAAACCCTCCCAACTGCCAAAACTTTCCTGTTTCTTGTCCATCACATTTCTCCACTACTGTAATTTAACGTTCCAGTTATGTAGTATCCTATGGTACATAAAACATGATGCTAATTATAATAAGCAAATATTGAGTGCTCATTATATCGGGAACTATTTTAAGACCTGTACATAGAACACCTCACTTATTCTCAATTTTAAATAAAATAAACAATATTGTAATACCCATCTGTAAGTGAAAAATCAAAACCTCAGAGGTAACATAATTTTCCCTGACACTGCTAATAAGGAGAACTGGGAAAAGTAATCAGGTAGTCTGACTCTAATGCTCACATTCCTGATCTCTACTGATAAGTACACATAACTATGTGGGCTGTATCAATGTGCAGATAACTCAAAATTAGGGGGCTACAGAAGAATTTAAAGAGTCTTTGTATTTAAGAGGTTTCTTACACATTCAAACAGCTTAGTATGGCTTATTCCCATTAACTATATCTTCTTTGCAAAGACATGGCCCAAGTTACTCATTCGTATATAATTAAAACTCAAATTTAAAAAGAAAATAGAGGAGAAAAAGGGTTGCAACAATACTTTAACAGATGTCCAGAATGGTGCTGCCCAAAAGAACTTTTGCAGTGAGGGAAAGGTTTTCTATGTGCACAATACACCATGGTAGCCATTAACCACATATGGCTTTAAGCACTTGAATTGTGTTGAGCATGACTGTGTAAATGAATTTTGAATATTCTGTAATTTTAAATAGTTTAAATTTAAATAGCAATATGTGGCTAGTGGCTCCTATACTGGACAGGACAGGTATAGAAAACAAAATCCTGGGAAAAAGTAAGTAAAGAACTTCTTGCTGCCTTTATTTGGAGAGTGCACTAATAGGCAAATCAATTTAAATGTTTCTTTTTACTTGCTCTAGTTCATTAATTGACCCAAACAATATAAACCACCAAAGAGATTTAAGTCACCTAAACTTTCTGTATTTAAATTCTTCTTTGTACATCTCAATGAAAAAAAAAAAAAAATGAAAACCTGTATTATCGACAAAGCGTATGAGAAACTTTTAACTGTTTGGATAACTAAGAGGAAGAATTTGATCTGAAAACTCTGCCACCTATTAGGAAAACTAAAGAGTCACACAAGTTTACATTCTCTTCATAATACATACTTGATAATAAAGTGCTTACCTTGATTCTCCACTACTGTTTCTAACACTTTCTTCATCGCTGTGTCCATTCATTGTAAATATCAAGAAGTTTTAAAATAAAACACAACTCTTCCCAGTTAAAAAGATGAATACAAATATGAACTCCTTAAACATCAAAAATTCACAGATGAATTCTTTCCAACATTCACAGGCTTCCTGGGGCCGTTCTGATTCACCTAAAAAAAAATATTAAGAAAGTTAAGAAAATATCCTGTAGAAAAAAAGATAAATCCATCTATTTAGAACTTATACAAATCTACCTAGGCCAATTAAATCAGAGATGGTAAGGAAGGAGTAGGAGTCTTTCACTCAAAATGCTTAGGCTTCTACTAACTACACTCCTGCCTACTTACTAGAATTTAGCACACTATTGCTTATTTTTGACAGACGAAATTAAAATATTTGTGGAATGACAAAACTTTTAGACTAAAACTGTGTGTCAATACACATATATAGACATTACAGATAAACAGATAACTAAAACAAAGTGGTAGTACATAACCTATACATACATGTATATGTTTCCCAAGAACCGAAAATGAAGTCTTAATGGATACTTGGTCAAACAAATGAAGGGGGAAAAACTTAATCAAGCACTAATTCCTATTATCAAGAACTTCTTGTACTTGAGTGAGAAAAAGTTTTGAAAATACTCACATTAAGAACAGAATAAAAGGGTATCACATAATCTTAGCGAAAAATGTATAGGTCAAAACAATTGTGTTCTTTCACAGGTAAACCGAGAGTGGAGTGATAAAATTTAAATAATATTTATCCAGTTTGGGCTTGCAGGGTTCCATTCAAAAACAACAACAAAAAAGGTAATATACACTAGGATTATTTAAGAAAAGGGGCTTGGGGTAGAAATCATGAGCCAAGACACAGCATTTCCACCTTTCAAGATTTCAGCACAACAGTGGAGAGTCACCTACAAGCCATCCACGAATAAACAAAGGAGATCTCTGGCAGGGGAGGGAGAGGAAGAAGCGGGGGAAGGAGACGTCAGATCCTTCCCCAGCCAGAAAGTACCGAGACAGGCGACTGAAAGCAGAGCTGTCCGCCGACCTCAGCAAAGAGAATTTACTCCTACGATTATTTCCACTCCACAAAAAAGAGGGGGAAAATATGCTGTTGCCAACTCAATCAGAGCAAACTCTGCATCTTCACTGGGATTGTAATTCTCCAGAGACTACAGTCCAGTAGACTCTTTGCAAGAACTGGTCATCCAAAAAGTAACCATTCCACGCAACATTTATTCTTAACGCTAAATATTAATTCCAACTAGTCAAAGAGCTTTACACCATTAAACAATTAGGTCTTAAAAATCTAGCTACTTAATAAACCGCCTCTCTTTCTCGAAAGTCTCTCTTCATCGAGAAAGTTCACTCATCTTTTCGTTATTTCCTTTTCACCTTCCTTTCGCCCCTCAAAATGGCTTTCTCCGTACATTGTAACTTCCTTCCCCCCCCCTCATCTTCCCTGTCGGAGTAAGTCCTCTTTCTGAGACCCTTCTCACAACCTTAAGTTGTGAAGCTCCAAGCGCACGCAGCTCTCTGGTGCCTTTCACGCGTCTTAACAATGACTCTTCCCTAAGTGGCTAAACCTCTTCAATCTTCCTTCTCTGCGCCCCGTCTTTTCACAGTTGCTTCACTCCTGCGAAGTTTTCAAAGCGGTACTCGAAAGGAGGTTGGAAACCTTCCCCCTCCCTCATCTATACTTCGCAGCTTCGCTTCAAGCAGCCTCCCAACCAGACGCACACGACCCCACTCCAGCCCCGTCCTTCTCTGGGCCTTCATCCCGGTCCCAGAGTCTCTCTTCCCGCCTCAAACTTCCCGCAGACCCGCCCCGCGCC